TGATATTTCAAGTGGTTTTCCAAATAGTAATCTCATACAAGCAAAGATCAAAAGATGAAGCAAGTTAACCACAACAAGAAAGTGCACTTGATCATAAGTGGTATTCATTTCATATGGGTGAAGAATGGAATTCAAAATGGTATCTATTAGTCTTCACCAAGCCTATAATTGGACTTCACATTGCTATTGGAGTAATGAATTAGAATCTATGTGACTATCCTCTACTCCAACATAGCAAAGGTATCATTGTAATATGCATGATCATTTCATCTCTTACTAGTATGCGGTTAGTGCATATAGTACATGCTTCATAGGATCATGCATAACAAATGAAATGTTTAAATTCATAACCTACCACTATTGCTTGAATTATTACTTGATCTAGTGGTTAGTATATGAATTTATTCATGAGCTAGTAAACCCAAGTACTTGATTTAATTTGGATTGCTAAACAAGTAACAAGTACAACATTGGCAAGATAACCCTTGCAAGAGGTGTGAAGAAGCTTGTCATTGGTTCAAACCGGACTTGAAAGCTTAGGCAAATCAATTTAGTTCAAGTCATTCATAGAAACTCATGATAGTGATAAGAGTACAAGCACAAGACAACAATGCAAATGGATATCTAGTTTATTTATTTCAAGTGGTATCTAGACTCAAGTATTTCTTCAAGAATTCACAAGTGATGTTTAGATCAACCCACAAGTAATATCCTATAAGTGGTACTCATGAAGATAGTAAATGTTCAAGAAATGGTTTTTATCGAAAAATACAACAAGTGGTTCCAAACTAGAAGATTCTTTCAAGTGGTATTCACTTCATACAAGTGGTATCACATCTATATATGGTGTCAATCATGCAAGACGATGGTTCCACAAGTGATCCTCAACTTTAAGTGATCATCAAATGAAGAATGCATCCCTCACCTACAAGAGCTCAAGAGTATCAAATGGATGACCCATGCTATCACATAGGGGGAGGTGTCACACAAATTGATATCAAGATCAAAGATTCTATACGTGGTATCTCAAGAAGCCCTACACAAGATACATGTAGTACAAGTTACAAGTGGTATCTACAAGTAGTGTCATTCCAATAATCAAGTGATGTCCATAAAAAATACAAGATTCAAGGCTCAACCATCTACCCCAAATACATACCTTTGCATCAATGAGAAGCACACCTTTTATGGAAATTGATGACAAAGGGGGAGAGATTGTACAAAGATAGGAAAGCCTTTATAAGGGGGAGAGATAAAGTGTGTAAGGGGAGAGATAAGATATGAAATCTTAAGAGGTTGGACATGAATATGGACAAAGAGGGAGCAACATTGGAGAAATGAGATGGATCAAAATTCTTGGACAAGAGAAGCACACAAGTAGAGGGAGCAAGCTCATGAACTTTGATTGATTGCATTTGATATGTGCATATTCATATTCTTGCTTGCATTGCATAAGTTCTTAAATTTCAACTTGCATGCTTGTGTGGTGTATGCTAGTTGTAGAACTTGAATGATGATTTGATAACTAGCATGCATAGGATGATAGCTAGACACTTGGTATGTTTTTCAAAGTAATGCTAGTACCTTGCTTCTAATGTTGATCTCATGAGGTATCTAGTGCTTTTATGTCCAAGTGATATCTAGCTAATCATGGTGCTAAGGATGAACTTAAAGGTGCAACTCCGATTGGTTTCACGCTTCAAAGGTTTATTCTATACACCTTAGCATCATTCGGTAGTAATTACTCTCCCACATTTTCAATCTATGCATATGTGTGAGCTTAGAACCAAATACTCTAGCACATATGTAGGGGGAGCTAATACTACCATTTCGGGTTTGTGGTACTTGTCCAAAATCATTTTCACATGGTAAAATTGCTTGGGCAAGCAACATGAATCCAAAAGAGCTTAATTTCCATATCTTTGTAAAGTTGTCATCAATTACCAAAAAGGGGGAGATTGAAAGGTCCTTGTGTGGTTTTGATAATTGAGTGATAACCTAGGTGGACTAATTGTGTTTATGTGAGTTACACAGGTGATTAGTCCACAGGTACATATGTGTGAGCAACATATGCCATGAATGTGAAAATGGCTTGGAGATATTGCAAAGCTCACACATGTGATGATGAAGGAGCTTATTGCAAATGAGACATGACATTGAGTCATGTGATCAAGGTGGAGAAGATCAAGACAAGACTTGGCTTGATGGACCGGTTGCAAGCGTGAAGGGCAAGTCGGAGGCTTTGGAGTGATGGACAGCGTGGCGGTGAAGCTTAAGCAAGACTTGGTGCCGATGGACAATGGCAACGGTGAAGAGCAAGTGAAATCAAGATCGATGAACCAATATGATCACGTGATGATATGAAGTGGATCATATCATTATTGATCGTGTTGGTGCATGTGTTGCATCGATGTTGGAGGAGATAGAATGGAATGCGCAAGGCAAAGGTATAACCTAGGGCATTTCATTTCACCGGTCATAGGTGTGTAGAGAAGTTTATGACCGGGTTTAGGATAGATGGCCATACTATCAAGAGGGGCAAACTTGTTTGCATATCGGTCATCTAGTGCCACTCGAGTGATCTAACTTTACATCGTTGCTAGGATCAAGTGGCGTGGCAAGTTGAGTGGCTAATCCTTTAGAAAATGGTTGTGAAAATGTTAACACACATACACATGGTAGGGTTGGCACATTTACAAAGGAGATGAAAGGAGAAACTCCACCGGTGGAGTGTCTGCCCGTAGAGTGCGGACAGTCCGACGGTGCCACCGGCACCGTAGACAGAAAAGATGGAGGTCACTGGAAGTGACCGGACACTGATCTCGGTTGGACCGGTGCGTCCGGTCAGTGGTGGCAGGCAGCGTGCAGCGTCGGTCAATCGACTGGACGCTGTCTCTGGTAGTGACCGGACGCTGGCTGTGAGTGTCCGGTCAGAGCTAACGTATGGTGACGTAGGCAGAGCAGAAGCTGGAGAGTGACCAAACGCTTGTGTTGCGTCCGATCGCGATCGACCGGACGCGTCCGGTCGTGAAATGTCGTTTCTAGAACCTTACTGGAAACAACCGGACGCTGGGGGCTCAGCGTCCGGTCAGTTGAAGCTGCTGTGTCCGGTCGTCAGATGACCGTTGAGATCGGATGAACAGCGTTTGAAAGAGGGGACACGTGGCGAGTATCGCGTGACCAGACGCTGAGGTCCATCGTCCGGTCGATCAGACCGGAGCGTCCGGTCGTCCCGACTTTTGCCCAGTGAAGGGGTAACGGCTCTATTTGTTCGTGGGGTTATAAATAGAAGCCATGGTCGGCCTTGGGCCGGCAGCTGAGCACCTAAGGGGACTTAGTGTCCATGCTTGTGAGTGCTTAGGAGCCCTCTATCACACATATACTTGATAGTGATCATTCGATTGTGTGAGTGAGCGATTCTAGTGTGATTGCATCGTGAGGTTGCATCGAGTGGCACTAGGTGATCGAGTTGCAAGCCGATGGTGCTTGTTACTCTTGGAGGTTGCCACCTCCTAGACGGCTTGGTGGTGGTCTCCGTCGAAGCCCGCAAGAAGCTTGTGCGGCGCTCCGGAGAAGTGCTTGTGAGGGGCATTGTGCTCGCCCCGCGAGAGCCGCGAAGAGCAACTCTAGTAAAGCGTGTCACTGAGCTACCCTCACTCAAGGGGTAGGTTCTTGCGGCGCCCGACATGCGGGCTTAGCGGGTGATGCTAATTAGCCGCCGAACCACCAAGTGAGCGGTCGACACAACGGGATCTAGCGTGTTGGCAAACATGTGAACCTCGGGAGAAAAATCATCGTGTCAACCTTGTTCTTCCCGTTGGTTTGCATCCCCATTACACAAGCTTGCAATTACTTTTATACATATTAAGCTTGTGTAGTTGCTCTTGTAATTAGATAGCTTGTGTAGCTTGCTAATTACCTTCTTGCTTGTGTAGCATAGAAGTAGCTCCCTTACATGGCTAATTTGGTTTTAGTAACCTTGTTAGTCACAATGCTTAGTTTGTGTAGCTAAGTACTTGCGCTCTCTAGGCATTGGTTGCCTTGTTATTGAGCATTGCTAGTGAATATAGTTAGCTTTGTGCTTTTGCTTAATAGCATGTGTAGGAGCTCTCTTGTTGCTTAAAATACTAGTGGCATAGGTTTGTGTAACCTTGCTCTTAGAAGTGTTTAGGAGAGCTCTAGCTAGCCCGGCACCTTAATTGCTTAATTAGTATATTTGAAAGGTGCTAAAGAACATAGATAGAGGGGTGTAGTCTTGGCTAGACCGATAGTTTTAATTCCGCACTTATTTCGGTTAGCCGACGCGATTAAGTTTTAAAAAGGACTATTCACCCCTCCCTCTAGTCGCCATCTCGACCTTTCACACGGGGAAGGGGAACGCCGGCGGGGAGGGGCAGAGTGCCACGCCCACGAGGAGGAGGCGCTCCCGCGCCCGGAGAGGGACACCGTGCCGCCGTCGACCGTCGCGTCGCTGTCGGGGTGGGCCGTGGCGCCATCGTCGAGAGGGCCACTGTGCAGGGGCAAGTCGTGCCGAGGAGGAGAGGCCGGCGAGCAGCCACGCCGGGCAGGGACTTCGGCGGGGCGGTGGATCGAGTCACGAGGTTGCATGAGGAAGACAAGAAAAATTTGTGCAGCCACAAGTAGGGGGCGAACAAAAGTAGGGGTTTCGGGAGAAAAGTAGGGGCCAACAGAAGTAGGGGTTGTAGTATGGGTATGTTGGAGTTAGTTTTTTTTACCCCCACTACCTACATTCAGAGTAGGGTAAGTACGAGGCATTGCTGGAGATGCCCTAGAGGACTGTACGTAGGTGTATCACCTCATTATTATTGAAGTTGATATATCATTTACACCGGCACAATTTAATACAGAGAATCAAAGGAGCTACACGAACGTATATGGGCGTAACACCCGCACGTAGACTGACATGAGCGGTGTAGGAGTGCTGAAAACGAACATCATGTATCAGTATCGGCACGTGCGGTAGTATGTGTTCTTGCACTTCATTGACGTGAGATGAAGCTCTTGATGGCGTCGATGAGCTCTCGGGCTCGTTCCCCAGTTGTGGGGTCCATGTCGACGGCGTACTTGTTAAGGTAGAAGGAGTGGCTCATGCCGTGGTTGATCAGCACCTCCACCTCCTTGCCGGCGGCGCGCAGCGCGTTGCAGTACTCGAGGTTAGTGTCGCGGATGAGGTCGTTCTCGGCCACGGACACAAGCAACGGCGGCAGCGGCACGGACTCCAGCGGCCGCGCCTGCGAACCCATTGGGCAGGTGAAGGGGTGGTCCTTGGTCGCGCCCTCCGGCAGCGCGTAAGCAAGGAACTTGTCCAGCATGTCCAGCGTGAAGAACACCGAGTCCGCCTTCGTCTCCAGCTCCGACCGGCTCCGCGTGGCGCGCACGAACCCCGGGTGGATCGGGATGCCGCCAGCGACGCGGAGGGGAGCCCAACTGCTTGCGTCGGGGAACTTTCACAGAGAAATGCTGGGCGATTTCGATTAGAATTGCGGGTTCGCGATCGCGACGTCGGTCGTCGGTGAAACCAAGCGCGTGAGAAGAGCAGCGCGACGCCGGGGCGGAGGACCTGTGTGCCGTGTGGACCGGCTAGACTGAACCTACTGCAGTTGGTAACACAAAATAACCAACACTCGGCGCCGGGAGTTTATCCTCTTGCTGCAATTTCCCAGCAGGTGGGGGCAGCGAAAGTGCCTCCGGAGTATTATGAACTTGGGCTTCTTACCGGGCGAGGACCAGAGAACACTTTGTTAGCTCGTCTCCGCACTACCGGGAAACAGTTGCTTTATCACGTGCCACAGACATACAGTAAAGCCCAAAATTGCTTGGAAAAAGGATTTGCCGAATGTAACACTAGGCAAACAGCATACGGCATCTATAATGTCGGCAAACGTCTCTTTGCCGAGTGTTTTTTATCGGGCACTCGGCAAATACTTTGCCGAGAGCTGAAACCTACGCTCAGAAAAAAAGTAACGTGACGGCGCAGAGACGGTCACTGCACGTTTCCCAAGTGTTTGGGATTTGACACTCGGCAAAGCTACCATGTCACGTATCCTCTTTGCCAAGTGTTGTCCAGGCACTGACACTCGGTAAACATGACTGATTTACCGAGTGTCAAATCCCGGACACTCGTCAAACATGGCTGCTTTGCCGAGTGTCAAATCCCGGCAATCGACAAAGACAGGCCCAGAATGTACGGATTTTGGCCACGTGTCCTCTTTGCCGAATGTTTTTACCTTGGCATTCGGCAAAAGGTCGTAACACTTGGCAAAACGACCATATATTTTCAGTTTTTATGGTTCGGTCACGTATAACGTACCCCACTCAAATAAACATTATAGGCATCACACATAGTTCACAATAAGCATCACATACAGTTCATATAGATATATCGACAACACATAAATGCAAACCTATTTTTTTTTTTTTTCTCTGCTTTTCCAGGACGTCATTTTCTTAATTTGTTCCGATGTACTTTGAAAATACCTTGTCAAATTGACTCAACAATATATATTTGTTTTTTCTAGGAATATTATTTCATTATTTTATGCAGTTATAGCTCAAATTTAATTTATATCAATTAAAATTCTATAATTGCACTTAATAAATTACAATTATCAAACGGATCCAAAAAATTACCAAAATTTTACATGAAACAATCTATGTTCTCTATTGCTTATACAAAAAATTTTGAAGCCAAACCCTAATTCGACCCGTCACTTTGACCCCAAATTTTACCGAATCCTTCTCAACGCTACGATTGTTCTTCTGAGATACTTCGGTTTGTAAACATCGTACATGACAAAAATGTACGAAACCTTCTCAATTTTTTACCACGGCCTCAACGTATGATATCATCACATCATGACAAATCTTTTGATTTTCAGACTTCGTTTGCTTTTTTTAGAATTTAAAAACCATTCGGCCACACGTTCGTGATCGTGTTTCTGAACAAGATGTTCGAAATTTCATTTCCCGGATAAGGCCTCACAATGGACTTAATAACATGAATATCATTTTCTACTCATTTTATTCTATTATTTAAATCAATTGCGGTTCAAATTTGACTTATACCAAAACATTCCTTGAAATACAATTAATTAATTAAATATAGCAAACAGGTCCAAAAATATACCAAATCTTAACATGGGGTACTACATGTTGTATGTAGAGAGCAGAAAAAGTTTCAAGGTCAGAAGAGAAAGAAAACTTATTTCTTTGTCGAGTGCCAAACAAATACACTTGGCAACTCGACAAACATATTTATTTACCGAGGACCAAATAATTACACTCGGCAAACATATTTCTTTGCCGAGTGTATTTGTTTGCCAAGTGTTTTCACTAACGGACACTCAGCAAACGTACTAACAGACGACACATGGACTAACGGTTGTCCACGTGGCGGTCTTTGTCGAGTGCCTAGCTTTTGCCGAGTATTTTTTTTTGTTTGGCGAGTGCCAAACTTTGCTGAGTGATTTTTGTTTTTTTATCAAGTGCAATTATTTTACCGAGTGTTTTTTAAGCATTCGACAAAGAACTCTCGGCGAACATCAGTTTCCGGTAGTGCCGGTCAGTCACGTCAAGGAATAAGCTATTTCCTTGAAAAAAAAATAGTGGAATAAACTATTAGAAATTTTAAGATTAGGAACACCTGCTACTAATTGGGCAATATCAATCGTGTCATCTAGCTACTCTGACCAGGACACCAGGTTAAGTCGGTCAGGTACAAATGGCAGTGAGCAGTAGATTGCACATGAGATCCATGTCATGCTCATAAACGATCGTAAATTTCCAGCCGGGAACAGTGTTTTTCTCTCACACCAAACCAGCCAACAGTAAATAATCCACGATACGATACGGTCTCCCGAACAGGCTGTCAGTTGTCAACATGTGGGAGCAGTTGAGCTTGACCAGTTGGGGCCCATGGGCACGGCCATATGGCCCGATGATCTGGGATGGCACGGCCCGTGCCAGCCTATTGTAAGAAGACGGTCCTATTCTCCTACTCCCTAGTCGTTTTAAGAGTCTGTTTAGTTCGTTTAGTAGCTACTAAATTTAGTAGTTTTTAGTTACTTTAGTAACTTTTTAACTAAACGTTATGATTAAAAGCTACTAAAAGGCTTTAATCCTCTCTAGTAACTCTGGAGTTACTAAAAGTGACTAAATCGTTTAGTAGCTACTAAAGTTTAGTAGCTCGAACCAAACACCGTTAACGTGCACAATGGGAGTAAGTATCGAGAAAGGAGCACAATGACCTGCATGTCCCTACATCTACCACCTTTAACGTGCACCGAGGATATTAAAACTCCTGCTTTATGCCATCCAAGTACTGCTAGGACGCCATCTGTTTACTGCTACTGGACGAGTGGATGAGGATGACCTGATGTGAGTGGGCGGCGTGACTAGCTATGGGCCCATGGTGCTCCATCGACTCTCTTTTTAGGACAAATATTGAAGGCTAGAACGTAAGTTTTTGTGGGATGGAGGGAGTAGATCCTAGGCACTCAACTTCCCCTGCCCCTCGCGCTCATCCTTTTTGTCCACGACAGCGAGGCCAAGGTCAAGGCTGAGACTTCCCTCCTGATTTCTTGACCACCACCTATCGTGCAGGCTCCTCCTACCATTCTCCCCCATTGAGAAGCAGCGGCGCACGGGGCACAGCCTAGGGGTGCACCCCGACAATCAACCACCTGGAAGCAGTCAGAAAGTGGTAGCGCATCGCAGGTAGCGGGCGAGGTCACTCAATGCCACAAAAGCTGATGGGCGCAGGAGCGCCGACGGGCCGGCCCACCACAAACCAAGCCTTAAAGGGTTAGGCCCGTGCTTGAGGTGCAGCTCGTCGGTGGGCACGGCATGGCCTGCTAAGCGAGGCATGTCGTGCTGGCCCAATGCCTAACAGGTCATGCCTTACACTACTACAAAATTAATTTTAGAAGATATGCCTTTTATTAGTGTGGGTGGTCATAAAATTTAATCGTCTCCTAAAATACTTAAGGATTTTTAGGGCAGTCATTTTATTTACAGAGGTGTTTAAAAAAAATACCCGTCTCTCAATGGATTTACGGAAACGGTCAAAATTAGCCCATCAACCAAAATCCAATAACAGAGGCGAGCCTCTTACCAAAAATGGAGACCATTTTCAAAGACGGACCTCTTAGTCTCAGAAAAATGGCCCGACGCCCAAAAAGATCTAGAAGGGCCATTACTTTTGTTACGTGTATATATAGGTGAGTTAGGGTTTGGAGGTTACTCATCCTCTCTCTCAACTCTCTCTCGTCACTCAGCTCCTAGTGACGTCGCCTCTCTCCCTTCTCTCCCTCTACTCTCTCAGCATCGACGGCAGAGGTCGGTGAGCGCCTAGCGGCGGGAGGTCTGTGTGCGCCTGGCGGCGAAGTCCGCGTGCGCCCGATGGCGGGGGCCGCATGTGCCTTGCGGCGGGGGTCCTTGCACCCGACGACATCAGGGACTCTTCCGTGGCGCCCCGCACTCACGTCGGTGACCGTGGCTCAGATCCATGGAGGTTGGGCCTCGCGGCAGTGCGGGCCTCGGACTCGGTTGTTGGGGCTTGAATCCAGTGAGAGGGGCAGTGATGGTGGCGTGTCGATGGGCTCGACAGGCTTGTCGATGGAATCTATTTTCGAAGACGGGCACTTGATCGCCTCCGAAAATATCGATTAACGCAGGCGTTGTTTTGGAGGCAGACTCCCTGCCAGCCTGCAAAAATCAGTTTTGACCACCTGCGAAAATCTGTTTCAGTAATAGTGTTAGCTCACCTAGGCCCACGCCATGCTGGGCAGACCGTTTGATTCAAGGGCTGGACTTCTCGGTTTTGACCCTCGGGCCGTTTGCTTAGACTTTGCAGTTGTCTGGAGCATCTCTAGCAGCCCCCAACATCACCTATCATTCCCAATAAAACTCCCTTTTTGGTGCCACCAAAAAAAGCCCTCTTCTCCCCTCAAATAATGGGGGTGTTGTATCTCCCGCAATAGCATGGGTCCTACAATAACTACCCCTTCTTCTCTGCACACTGTGATCCATGTCTATTGCCTCCTTCTAAGTCGGTGGCATCGAGCTATAGAAAACGAAATCCCATTGGTGTGCCTCCGTCCAAATGTCGGCCAGCGGTGTCTTGTTGCGGCTAGGAGGCGAGAGCTATGGTCATTGCCTCCATGCGAGCTATGGCTGCCACCATCGTGTTGAATCTCGTAGGGGTGGTGCATGAATGTGGGCAGCGATGCAGGGTGCTCATGTGGAGGTGGATGGAGGCAGAGTTCACAAGGTCGGAGACGAGACAAGGCCGTGGTGTCGGGGTGGCGATGGA